CTCTATTCAACATTTATTAGAGTAACACCCCTCATTTATTGCCAAACATATTGAAATGACATCTTGTGTTGTTTTACAGGGGTACTTTCTGATTAAACCACAGTAAAAGCTCACCACTCTATTGGCTCTTTTACACAGCTGATCCTACAAACTCTACACCAGAAAAAACACATTAACAGTACATTGTCTGTGTTCACACACACCTATTCTAACACACACATCTGTAGTCTTCGAGTACGGTATCAGAGTACCTCTTGATCTCAAGGGGTGTAAAGTGTTTAATAGACTTTAACGATTATACAGCAACACACACATCAGATACCCAGCGTTACCATGGTAATCAGAAAACCAGACTGGGGTTAAGGAGCACTATTATCTGGGACACAGAGAGAGAAAAAGAGAGAATACCTCTTTTTGTCCTTTAAGTCCTCAACCCTTCAGAAGTGTTTGCACAGAGCCTCGCAACCATGGATCCTTGCCAAACACAAAAAGTGTGTGTGTGTGTGTGTGTGTGTGTGTGTGTGTGTGTGTGTGTGTGTGTGTGTGTGTTGGTATTATGGTATTGTACAAAACATTACAATTATCCTTTGAAGAGTGAGGCTCTATATATTGTTTATAATAGTAATCCTAAATAGATTTTTTACATTTTCTCTTTAAAAAAATGGTAGTGCATGGTTGCCAGGGTGTTGCTATGTAGTTATTAAAGTATGGGTTTGTAGTGTATTGCTTGCTATGCTGATGCAAGGGCATTTCTAGGTGGTTGCTAGAGTGTTGTGGGTGGTTTCATACAATTGCAAGAAAGTTTCCTTTAGATGGTTTTCTATATAGTTTCTTGAGTGTTCTGGGAGGCTACCAGGGTGTTGCTATGCAGTTACAGTACTAAAGTGTTTGCAGTGTTATGCAGTTGCAGAGGTTCACTCAATAAGGCATTAGAGTGACTCTGGGTAGTTGCTAAGGTGATCTGCATGGGTGCACAAGCTTTTCTAGGTGGTTTCTACAGCAAAGTTGCGTGCCAAAGTGTTATACTTATGGTTACTATTTTGTTCAAATCTAACCAATTCTAAGTGTGACCAATACTAATAGCGATGGTAGTCAGACTTACACATTCAGACAGCTGGTACAATACATTCTACCATCTAAACCCCTTTCTCTCCTAAACTCTCTTTCTGTATCCAGCTTTCCTCTTTTTTAATCTAATTTTAAGTTCATTCTATCTATCATTCTGACAGAGTGCCTGTGTGAGAGAGCTTTGTACTTGTGTGTATTATTCTAAATGGACTGAGGGCTTGTGGCTTACCTGGGAGATCACTGCAGTGATCACTGCACACACACACACACACACACACACACACACACACACATGCTGAAACTTGCCGTTTCACTTCTGACAGGGCTAAGAGCTGCCAAATTCATTCTCTGGACTCCATTTGAAGGGATTTGTGTCTGTCTTTGTTATGTGTATACAAAGTTTTATCTCAAAGAGTGTAGTAGTTGATCTAAAGCAAGAGAGTTTGGAGCAGTTTTATGATCACATCTATGTGCCTGAGAGAGGGAGAAACACATAGAGAGACTACAGAGAGGAGAGGAACTCGAGTTAGTGTGCCAGCGTGCCCTTGTTGGACCTACAAAACCCAAAACAGAAGAAAAGTCAGCAAGGTATGGTTGTTTTTTTTCAGTACAAAGACTGAAAACGCTTAACAAAGAATGACATTTCTCTTTGGTCTCTCCTAAAAAAGAACAGCTTTTGGTTACCTGCAGTTTCTTAAGGAATAGTTTACCTGAAAACAAAAAGTCTGTTATTGTTTACTCATGCTAAATCGCATGGCTTTCTCTCTTTCTCAAAACCCAAAAACTGAAATTTTGTTGAAAAAATAATGTGCTAGACGCTTTTTTCCAAACAATTAATCTGCAATACTGGAGCTTTTAAGGTGACTATCATGAAAGCAGTTCATACAACTTGTGCACTGTATTCCAAATCACCTGAGGCCCTACAATAATTTAATGTGAGAGCAGACCAAAATTCATTTAACGTCATTCACTGATATTTGAATAATTTAGACAGTAAATGAATCAGACATCTCGACTTTTCTCATGAACTTTCATGAGGTCGTACAGGTTTTGAACAGCACGAGGGTGAGATATTGTTGGCAGAATTTATTTTTTGTGTGAAGTACCCCTTTATTTCCCCCTGCATGAGAGCAAAGGGCTTTCCTCACACGTTTCAATCTTTCTTTTCTCTTTCGCTCCCTTACTGGAGGTTCTGACAGTTGGTCTCAGTCCAGAGGAGCCACTCAGCAGAACAATCGACTCCTTTCTCCTCTTCTCTTTCACTCTCTCTCACTCATTCTCTCTCTTCAGGATCTCGCTTGCACCCAGAGGCTTATGACACAGTTACCTCCTTCTCCCTTCTTTCTTTCTCTCTCTCGTTTGGTTTGTTTTGTCTGGTGTTGTCATTGTGGCATTGAGGTCTTAAGGTTAATTATTGTTTGTTTATTTGGGACTCAGCAGCATTTAGTCTGGTTTTTAGGCCTGTGGAGGAGTCTTCCTCTGTGTGTGTATGTGTGTGCGAACGTGTCCTGCTCCAGCCTTGGCTGTAATGATGATGTATGATTTGCTGCGTTGGCACAGCCTCTTTGCTTAAAGAGATGTGAAGGGCACTGGGATGCACTTTTCTGCTCTACTCTTGTATAAATCTCCGATGGGGGGTGTGAACCTTGCTGGATGTACTTGAATGTGTGTGTGTGTCTCTCTCTCACACACACGGTCCTGCAGTAGCTCATATTAACTCTTTATAGTAAATTAGCACAGCTAATCAGTGTGACAGCGCTACAGACAGAGGGACTGTGTGTGTGTGTGTGTGTGTGTGTGTGTGTTTTATTATGAGACTTCTGCTGTCTGCCAGTGTGAATAGTTCCATTATTCACAGCAATAGAAACAGAAAGAGAGGAAGAAAGAACAAAGGACTTTTTATATTTGGTTTAGGATGCTGCTATATTTGTTACTCTGTGTAAAATAAATACAAAAATCAAGACGCTGGAGGATAGTCTAGTTTTTCAGGATTCTGTACATTTTAGCAGTGCTGTGTGAGTGTGAGTGTGAGTGTGTGTGTGTGTGTGTGTGTGTGTGTGTGGGTAAAATCTATATTCAGTGGAGTCAGTAGGTCTCCTCTCATCTTACTAGTGATGCTCACTAACACTTATTAAAATTCAACACTGCAGCAAATGGGTATGTAAAGTATTGGTGTGTGTTGCTAAAGGGCTTTTGAGATGTAACAAATGTTTTATTAAATTTTAAATTTATCCCCCTCTGTTTTATCTTCCTCCTAAAACACTTATCATTCTCTTTCTTTTCATTTCTAACACACACATTGTGTTGTCATAATGGGACTTTCCTTTAACTTATTTTGTTTTTACACCAAGCTAATGATATTTTCTGTTGTCTAACTCTAAACTTAAGCCTAACACAAACCTTTCTGCATGTTTCCATTTTCATTGACATGTTCTTTAGGAAGTTTTTAGGCCATTTTCATTGTGAGGACTGTTGGCTTGTCCCCACAATGTAGGACAAATAAAAAAAAATCACACGTTTACTTAAATATCTAACAGATTTCTGTTGTTTTAAAATAACCAATGTTTTTTAGATTTTTTTAGAGTTCTGGGGACTTACTTAGTATGACTAAGTAAACTCACACTCTTGTAGAGTTGTTATCATAAGTTTGTGTATGTTTTAAAGTACTTCACTGAATAAGTTATTTCACATAATAGGTTTACATATGGCCCACAAAACAAAATAATGATTTTACACAAATGAAACTATTCAAAATTTAAATGCATACTGATATTGATTTGTAATCCTGTGTGTTGTTACTTGGGATATATAAAAAGGTCTGTTATGTGAAAACTTATTCAGGGAAGTACTAAAATAAACCAAAATGCAATTTTTATGATCCCTCTTATTTTTAAAATGTTTAACATTTTACATATTCTGCATGAATTTGCAGAACAGTATGTACATAAATACAGCAACACCTGTCTTTTACTAGCACCTAAACATCAGAAAGAGATGAAGAAAGAAACAGACATTTGCTCTGTTTCATTTTGGCTGAAGGAGAGGTTGAATGGAAAAAGAAGTATAAAATAAACATATAGCTTCCTCTTAAAGTGTCTGACATACTGAACTCACACACACACACACACACAGTCTTACACCCAAAATATGAGATAAAGTGAGAAAGTTAAAACCAAGAAGTGTGTAAATACGTCAAAGTGTGTTCAGTTATCTGACTGTTTTGACTAAGAGGTTCCTGTTTTAGCTTAGAATCTCAGGAGTTTATCTCAATGGAAGTCTGAATGATATGTTTTAAAATGATACAGTACTGAGTCAGACAGCTTCTCTCCTGTTCTCTCCTCTAATTTATCATTTCTTTACCCTCCACATGCTGAATATGACCTAGTGCAGTAAGCAAGCAAACACACACACACACACACACACACACACACACACATACACATACACACGGCAGC